CGGGATCTTGTATTGTGTCTATGTTAATGAGATTAGAGGCATGTTGAAGGCCTGGGCCCCCAATGTGAACTGTTTTGGTCACAAGATATAGTAAGGTTTAATTTACAATGTCTTTTTTGCTCAACATGAAACACTGCTGTTTGTATACCTTTGAAGGTCTCTTTAAAAGTCTGTTTGTGTGAATAAGGAGTGTATGCATCAGAAAAAGATAAGGCCATTGTTAAAGTCAGATGGTCAAGGGAGGAGTGAAGAGACTTAAGGACACCAGAGAACCATCAATGTGCATCCATAATTGAGGAAGGTCAGATTGACGACCCTGAGGTGGAGGCTGGCACCCCTAAAGACAAGACAATTGATTAAATCGAAACCAGGAAAGGATGACCCTGGAGGTGCTTTGGAATATTAACATCAAAAGGTAACACCAATTAAGGATGTAACCGGTCATAAATGACACAGCAAAATCCACAGAATTCAACTGAGAAAAAGGACTATAAGAACAGGGTTCTTTGCCATGGGACTTTGGGTTTGTTTTGCCACAACTCCAGGAGCATCTGATCGCGACCGACAGAACCCGGCTCCCCTCTGTGACCACTCTGGCTGGCCACTAGATTGATCCAGACTTTGGACTGGTAACATCGACTGGTGCGCGTGTGTGTGTGTCTGTGTGAGAGAGAGAGAGAGAGAGACTGAAAAGCATATGCTAACAGCCGCATTCTCAATAAATGCAGCGTATTGCCTTTTTCCCTGAAAAAGATACCGTGTGCGTCTTATAAGCATAACACATAGGCTAAGTCACAATGCAGCACATTTAATTCCATGGTGCATAGTGTCCGTGGGGGATCCTGTCTCGTCAGGAATGGCTGAAGCACCTAGAAGTAGAAAGGAACCCAGGATGCTGCCTTGAGACAGGACAACAGGTCACCTCGTGCTCCTGACTGAGCGTATTACAGCCAGTGTGGGCCATCACCTCCCCAGCTCCTCATTGTACTGCAAATCCAAGAGGACCTGAAGCAGAGGAGATGGGGGGCGGGTAGTGGAATACAGATAAGGACCACACATCAGGAAGAACTTCCAGTTACAGTAAATAACCTCTATTTCTTCTTGGAGGGCCGCTCCCCGTGTGTGTTCCACTTGCAGGTGATTGACAAGCAGTGCTCAGACTGGAGGCGGGTGCGAGGAAGCCAACGGCAGATGCTTGCAGCACTGCAGATCCCATGGCTGCGTCCGCAGCTGAGGTGTGATCTAAGGCACAGTGTGTCACGAATGTGTGTCTGGAGCTCCTGGTGGCCGTCCTGCAAATGTCTTGTACCGCGACCTGCTGTTGGGATGCTGTAAAGGCAGCCTGTGCTCTTGTGGAGTGAGCAGACAATGTTAGGAGAAGGATGTGTGCTAACCTGCAGCACGCTCGGATGCATCCCGAAACCCACTTAGAAATTCTTTCAGAGGATATAGCTTGCCCCCGCGATTTCTGCTATAGTGATAAAAAGTCTTGGTGACTTTCTGACTGGTTTGGTCCTTTGCAGGTAGAGCGCCAGGGCATGCCGGACGCTGAGGGAGTGAAGTCTTTTCTCCTAGGTAGAAGCATGGCGCTTTGGAAAGAAGACAGGTAAGCGGAGAGTGTGGGAAATGTGGAATTCAGAAACAACCTGGGGGAGAAATTTAGGATGCAAGATAAGGGAAACTTTGTCCTTCAGTGTAGAAAGGGTCTGCCAGGATGGCTCCCGGCTCGCTGACTCTTCTGGCCGAAGCAGTAGTCACCAGAAATGCAACCTTCCTGGACGGGTGGGACATGGAGAATGTCATTAAGGGTTCAAACGGAGGTCTGGTGAGTGTTGACAGGAGAGATTCAGGTCCCACTGAGGTGTAGGTTTGATCAGTGGTGGGAAGGTCCTAGTTAGGCCCTTCATAAAACGTACTGTAACTGGCTGAGTGAAAACAGTGTCCATCTATCGGAGGGAGGAAGGCACTCATTGCTGAGAGGGGGACTCGCATCAAACTAATGGAGAGACCTGAGGTCTCTTGGGATAATCTAAAACAATCAGAATCCTTGCAGTGGCTGGAGAGTGTTGACTAATCTGCGCCCAGGCAGAGAAACACCTCCATTTGGCCGGCAGCAGATCCTAGTTGAATCTTTCCTATTTCGGGTAAGGATAGCCTGAACAGGAGTCAAGCAGGAACATTCTATTCCGGACACGCATCACAAACCAGGCCGTGAGGTGGAGTGAGTCTGGATTGGGGTGCTTGATTCTGCCCCTGTCCTGAGTTAGGAGGTTCAGGAAGGTGTTGATCTGATTTGGGAGGGGAGCGGGGCAGACATTGTCAGGGACTCCATGAACCAAAACTGCCTGGGCCAGTTTGGTGCTAGGAGAATGATGCTGGCCCCGTCGTAATGTACCTTTCTTATGACATGTGGAAGCAGCGGACTAGGAGGAAAGGCGTATCTAAGGTCATTTGCCAAGGACAACAGGAAAGTACTGCCCCAGGAGCTGCAGCCCATGGCCCCTTTAGAGCAACATGGCCAGAAAGAGGGGCAGCTGGTGGAGGAGAACCCTAAAGGATTCAGTATCAGTGGTCCCTGAGGAAGTCTGACCTGGAGGGACGGAGTGTCACTCCTCAAATGTCCATCAGGGCTCAACTCTCTCCATGGAGAGACAGGAATGACCAGACTCGTCCGAGTCTGCGAACTGCTCCTCCGGTAGCGGAGGGGCTGTCAGTACTGGAGCACTCCTGTCAGAGAGCTGGGGGTAAGACGGCTCCTGGGACACTGCAGTAGTATCCTTCTCTGCTGTAGTAACATCCCTCAGTAGGGCTGAGCTGGAGGGGAGACCGCTGATAAGGGAGGAACATATCTTCTGGTGTTGTGGAAGTCTCCGTACGTCCTCGTGTCCGGGAGATTCTGGCAGTCAAGTCTGATGGAACTGCTGTGCCCTTGGAGGCAGAGTGGTCCTTGAACAAACCAGGTGGCACCAATGAGGAGTCTGGACCTGCACTTGTAGACAGAACCAGCAGATGTCTGTCCTTCCGCTCTGGTGCCAGCATGACTGATAGAATCGGAGGATCTTTCTTTCTACGTACTTCACCCTCCAGTCCAGGTGTTTTCAGCAGAGCCAGTTCCTTAGGGTCTGTGCACAAAGGCTCACCTGACCCCAATAGGAAGGAGCATGTCTCTTCTGGACAGTCCTCAATGAGGATCTGTGCTGAGAGTGCCCTCTATTCTCACGGGAAGCCCTAGATGAAGAGTCTTTGGACTTGGGTACTGGAGGCTCCACTCATAAGCATGGACTTAGAGGGGTACTGACTGCCAGTTCAGGCTGATGTACTGGGGGTGAGGGGGCGGGCGGGCGAGTGTGTCTCCCCGGCTCGGACTGAAGAAGGGTCTCACAGCCTTCTCCATCAGGTAGTGACTCAGGTGAAGCTCAGGAGATTCTCGAGTTCTGGGTAGGAGCAAGCGACAAATACTGCACGTTGCAGAGATACGCGTCTGATCCAGACAGAGGCAGCGCTGATGTTCGCTGCTGATAGGAAAGGAGTGAGGGCAAAAGAGACAATGCTTGAAGCCTGGGACTCTGAGCATAGTCCCAGACCCGGGCAGGGAATCTCCAGGAAGGGGGGAAAATGCACTGTACTAACTATACTATAAACTACTAGCTAGCAGGCTCAGAAGGATAAATCTATTGGCAATTGTATTTACAGGGTCTACAAAGGAGCTGAAGGAAGGGAGGACACAGAATTCTGACTCAGGCCACATGGTGGTAACGAGGAACTGGAGATGCGTCGGCCTGCACTACCTCTTATGCTCTCGGTTGGGAGCAGGAGACCAGCTGTGCATGGGGGGGGCCCAATAGACACTGCTTGCAGGAATTTCCGTACTCGGGCGCATGTGCATAGCCATGTGTGGAATACAGATCGGGACCAGCACTTGAAGGCCTACAGACTGTTAGCCCCTGCTGGTGACCTCAGAGCTCCTCTGCGGCCATCCTCACTGCAACCGGGAAGGCTAGGGCCAGGCTGAGAGTGGACAGTGGGGTGGGCTGTACCAATTCAAGCTGCATTGCTAACGCCAGCCAAGCAGGATGCTCTCCCAAGCAGCAGAGGGGAATGCAAGGTGGTTTGGGAGGAAGGCTCACCCCTCAGACATTTGTACCATTTACCATGTGGTGAAACGTCCTCATCTGTGTTAACAGTTACCCCAACTGGTTCCAGGACTGACTTGCTCCCTGGTTGCCTCGCTGGCTGCCAAATGACTTCTCCCGCAGCTCATCTTTGTGCCACAGCTAGCCTGCTCCATTGCTCTGGTCTAGAGATGTCTCTCTCACTAGTGGGCCATGAAAGGCAAGTGTCAGGAATCATTAAAAAAATGTATTACAATCTAAAGCAAAAAAATCTGAATTCCCCACTCCCCATGCAACCTTCCCGTTCAAGGTCCAACTATTCTTTGTCAACCTCCCACACCACGCACATAAATCAAATATACTGGCTTAGCACCGATATCTCTATCACTCTTTTATGGTAAATGTCAGGGGGTTGTGAATGATTATTATTTACTTTGACTGAGGGGTCAACAAGCTCAAGAAACACCGGCCTAGACACGGATAGCTCCTGCCACTGATTCATCACACCTCACTCTGCGGCCCTCCTCCTATCACCATCTCCCCAACCCCCCTGCCATCCTCTGGCACTGCTCAAACCATTTCTCCTTCCTCCTGTTGTCCGTCCTCATCCCCCTCCCCCAAGTACATCTTCCGTCTCACCTCTAGCAACTCTGCCCCAGCCCTCGGCTTCCCTTCATCCTACACGCCTCCCTGTCAACACTTCTGCCCCTCTAATTTCACAACGATCCCTACCCTCCCACTCAGGACAAGATTCCATGGTACAGAGGTGCAGAGAGTCCATGTACTAACATCTATCCTTGCACAACATGCTGAACTCTAAAAGCACATACAGAAATTTAAACAGCTTTGGGGAAAAACGCAGCACATTAAATTAGGAGAATGATTGGGTTTTATTTTAGTAATGTTTTTAATAGTTTCCTAAATAGCTGTAAAGAAAAAACTAGGGTTTCCTGATTACAGACCAGGTCTGAGGATAGCAGCAGAGACCTGGTGCATATGAGATCAGCATGGCTGCACATCAGCCATTTACATTCAGATTGTTCATTAGCTGAATGTGGATGGCAAGAGAAGTTTGCAGAAAAGCCAACGAGACTGTGAGCATCCAAGGCAGAGCAGCAGTAACACAAAATGGTGCTGAAGTGCACGTCTAGCCATATCATCGGTCTGAGCTGGACTTTCTCTGGGTTTGTGCTGCGGTACCTCTTTGAATATTGGCATGGGCAGATCCCAGCTCTTCACCACACTGTCCTTTTGACATGTGCCCAGGAAGAACGTTTCATTCCTTGAGCTACTCTCACTTCGCTCCATTCCAGCTTGGTATTGGGAACCTCATCTATAGGCTCTGGTTCCTTCCTGACATCTCCATTAGGTGAAGCAACTACGGTCGGCAGGGGGCCACACTCCTCACGGAATTCTACCACGTAGAGGCTTTTCTTATCTGCTAGCTCTTGATGGGTTTCCTGTTTGAGGGGTTTAAAAAAAAAGAGAAAGATTCTATAAATTTCACAAGAAAGAACTGAACCAAGACAAGTTCAGCCTATTTGATCTATCTATAGAATAATTTCCATTCTGTATTTACCTCCATACCAATGTTAAACATTGTTTGTCTGCTTAAATGGCATAAGTAGCAACAGAAAGTGTCAGTTTTTCAGATGTTGTATGTAAACTAAAGAAATGATTCCTGGAACACGTAAGCGTGTGTAGAACATCCAGGGAATGCGATGCTGTAGTCCTAGGACTGCTGATCTGCTGGCACTGTAGGGTCATTCCCAGCAGTACCGCTTTCTGGAAAGGCTACTGGCCTATGATGAAGGCGTGCAGTGGGACAGTAACAAAATGTGGCAACATACCAAAAGCACTGTTTATTATACGTGTGACAGGGCCGAATAGTCCTACCCTGCCAAGAACTGACTGAAGATTAGTTACATTAAATGAATGTCCCCCAGGAAGTAGCTCTCACGGATGGGCAGGTAACTGGATGTTAGATGTCATATGGTAAGCGTCCCATGGCCAAAGTACACATGCCATTAGCCTGAAGACACAAGGCAGTTTAATAGAAATCTTGTTGCTTCAACAACAACAAAGTAGCTGTGCTGTCCACGGCACACAATTTTCAAGGTAGTAACTTTTGTTATTCAAAGAAATTCTGTTCATTTGATTTTCAATCTTTCCCCCACCACCAAGAACAATTATTCATTAAAGCCTCATTCTTCAGAATAGGTATTCACTTATAGCAGCAAACACCTCTGCTGCCCGTTCAGTGTACCAAAAAGAACTAATTTAATAAACATCTCTTAAAGCATCGATACCCCAAATGGGCCTTTCTTTCCTTTCATTCAAACATTTTGCTACTTTTCAGTCCTGCTAGCTAAGGAACATATTTCCAAAAGTGCTTCAGTCAATAGGGCCAACGCTCCTAAATCACTTGAGCTTCTTACAACCCATGGATAATCTACAATAGTATTGTTTAAAAAAAGCTGTAAGAAGCACCTGCAATTTTTTAACTAGACTAGCAACAGATTAAAGTAGAAAATGTGAGAATTGTATATTTTTTTTTTTTTGCAGACTATATTTAAAATGTCAGCTGACTATGGACTGGACCACAGCAGTCAGGACTACAGCCTCCTGCCCACTAGTTCTCAGGCACCGTAGCTACACTCTCAGGAGAGGCAATGATTGTGTTCAGTACACCAACAGAGACAACCCAAAATGTGACTGACGAAATAACAGCAATAAAAGTAGGATTAAGGCTTTATCTGTTTGCACTTTTTTAAATGTCACTGACAAAAGCAAATTAATCCCCCAAATTCAGATTTCCCCTTGAGGCACTTTATGCTTGAATGCATAAGAGTTGCTGATGGACAGCTGTAAGTGACTAATGACTGCTGAGGGAGTGGAAAGAGGAGATTGAAATTCAAACTCTGTTTTCTCCTGGAATTGTAGAATTCAATTGAACTTTGTTACTTTTGGAACCTAGAATTTATTCTGTTCTATATCAAAGTATAGATTATATTTCACCTTTTGACCATCGCAAATACGACTGCAAGTACAGACTGTAAAATTTACCTGCTTTGCTAAACCCTTAAAGAGAGCTCTGGTGAGGTTAAGTAGATTGTTGGATCCAGAAAGTTTGGCATACAGGTCTGTAATCCCAATCAGCTTGCAGATGGTAATGATGGCTCGATGGCAATGAAGACCATGCCCTGGAAAAAATCAGATGTAAATGACACGTGAAAGCTAGTAAAATCATTACAACTTGAATAAAAAAAACTAGGATACCACAGACCAGCCAGTGGTAGCCTAAAAATGGCATGCAATTAGATTGTGAAGAGCGAAAGCATTCAGAATCTTCTTTTGAGGATAAAATATTGCAGATTTATTATCCTCCACATTCTTCATAGTCATGTTGATGGAAATAAGAACATAAGAACGGCCATAATGGGTCAGACCAAAGGTCCATCTAGCCCAGTGTCCCATCTCTGTGTGTGTGAACAGAACAGGTAATCATCATGTGATCCATCCCCTGTCGCTCATTCCCAGCTTCTGGCAAACAGAGGCTAGTGACGCCATCTCACCCCATCCTGGCTAATAACCATTGATGGACCTATCCTCCATGAATTTATCTAGTTCTTCTTTGAACCCTGTTATAGTCTTGGCCTTCACAACATCCTCTGGCAAGGAGTTCCACAGGTTGACTGTGCGTTGTGTGAAGAAATACTTCTTTTTGTTTGTTTTAAACCTGCTGCCTATTAATTTCATTTGGTGACCCCTAGTTCTTGTGTAATGAGAAGGCATAAATAACACTTATTTACTTTCTCCATACCAGTCATGATTTTATAGACATCTATCATATCCCCCTTTAGTCCTCGCTTTTCCAAGCTGAAAAGTCCCAGTCTTATTAATCGCTCCTCATATGGAAGCTGTTCCATATCCCTAATAATTTCTGTTGCCCTTTTCAGAACCTTTTCCAATTCCAATACATCTTTTTTGAGATGGGACGACCACATCTGCACACAGTATTCAAGATGTGGGCATACCAAGGATTTATAGAGGCAATACGATATTTTCTGTGTTATTATCTATCCCTTTTTTAATGATTGCCAACATTCTGTTCGCTTTTTTGACTGCCACTGCACATTGAGCGGATGTCTTCAGAGAACTATCCACAATGACTCCAAGATCTCTTTCTTGAGTGGGAACAGCTAATTTAGACCCCATCATTTTATATGTATAGTTGGGATTACGTTTTACAATGTGCATTTCTTTGCATTTATCAACATAGAATTTCATCTACCATTTTGTTGCCCAGTCACCCAGTGTTGTGAGGTCCTTTTGTAACTCGTCACAGTTGGCCTGGAACTTAACTATCTTGAGTAGTTTTGTATCATCTGCAAATTTTGCCACCTGTTTACCTCTTTTCCAGATCATTTATGAATATGTAGAATGGCACTGGTCCCAGTACAGACGCTGGGGGACACCGCTATTTACCTTGCTCCACTATGAAAACTGACCACTTATTCCTACTCTTTTCTTCCTATCTTTTAATCAGTTACTGATCCAGGAGAGGATCTTCCCCCATATACCATGACTGCTTATTTTGCTTGAGAGCTTTTGGTGAGGGACCTTGTCAGAGGATTTTTGAAAGTCCAAGTACACAATATCCACTGGGTCACGCTTCTTGACCCCTTCAAAGAATTCTAGTAGATTGGCGAGGCATTCAAAGAAAAACAAGCTGAGTAGTTGGGTGGATGGATGTAAACTCTGTATTGATTCTACTGCATAATTATAATGCATTAGTACTAATTGCAAAGGTTTTACTAAAACTTGCTGTATTTTACTGAAAGGTTTTTTTTTTTTTTGATTTAGTTCTCCAGTAAGATCTGTTTCATGTGACCTAGGTCTAATAAATCTTTAAAACCTGTGTGCAATAGATTTAAATATTTTATTTAAAACCTGCAAAGACAGCTCTTATAGATTACTCCACTCTGCGGGACAGTCTTGTTGCTGAGTAAATGGGGGGGAAAATTTATTACAATACTGCAGGCTTTACTACATTAACATTTTCTTCTTCTTTTAACCTATAATTGGAAAACAAATTATACTCATCTGACGCTATTCTTCCGCCGTTTGAGAAAGCGCTGATTTTATGCTCAAAGACAGAATCAATTACATCTGAATGGTCTTTGAAAGGTTATAAATCCTTTTCTTTTATTAATGGTCCACAATATTCCATTTCCCTGGCTTTGTTTCTTGTCTTTCTCCCACCTTAGTCAACATATAGCTTTCTGTAGGTTTTTAATGGATGAAAATCAGTCTTGCAATTTAGACAATCCACCACGGGCCAAGATTTTTTCCCAACATAAATTGAGCACAAGTATTCCATCTGCAAAGCAGCAACTCTGTAAATGTGAGGGTGGGGATGGGCTCTGGAGAGCGCCACATTATGTTATCGTAGGTTAATCAGTGGAGCCACTTAAAAGCATAGCTTTTAAAGGAGCCTAAAAACTACTCAACATTTGTCACATGCCAAACAAAGATATAAGCTAGTCATAAAAGGAAGCCATTTGAAGTTAATTCCTGGTAATAAAATAAATGTTCAGGGCTCTAATTAATAAAACTCAAGTACAACATGTTAATGAAATTAACTGTTACATTCTCTGGGTAACTAAGCAAATACAGATCAGAAGGTAAGAAAATACTGCCACCCTCAAATATAACTTAAATGAATTTTTTAAAGCAAAGATTGCATTTAGGTTTTAACTGTCTCCATAATAAAAAGTTCTCTTTAACCACAGACTTTTGATTGTCTAATATTTACTATTAGACTATGAGAATTAGATGTTACATACACGTTCTAACAAATTACAGTTATGAAGGTAGCTTAGCTAAGGAAAGTAAGAAATTAAGAAGAGAAAAAAACTAAATATACTCAAAACAATATTGAGCTTAGTTTACACATTTTGTACTAAAAATCTCAAAATTTTTGTCTTTTGTGACCATTTATTGAGAGAAATGCTGTAAATTAATGGGGAAGGAGTTTATAAAGTACCTCACCAACTTTAATACTGCAAAACAAGAGGCTTCAGGACACAGAAATAGGAGCTAGAGTGCTGTTACCAAGTAGGGAGAAAAGATACCTTATGGAAGATGAATCTGCATATGCCTTGCCTCATGGCATTGTTACTACAGTGGAGGTTTTGAAGTGTTGTAACTTTTCCTCTATATTAAAGATAGCCATAGGACATTGCTATAGTGCTTCATGGCCATATTGCTGCATTTTACAAATGATTTGGCATTTTGCCTGTTCAGTTAATCTTAGAAATTAGCTTACAAGTCATGCACCTATTTCACTGTGACTATTCTTGTAGGTTACAATCATGACTGTTTTAATGGGGAAGAAAGCTTACTCTGTTAAAGCTTTGGATTTAGCTTCTGTAATGCTAAGCATGGGTTGAGGTAGCATATGAATAGTAGGACTTTAAACATCTATAGAACCCCACAGATACCATTAGCTAATATGGCCAAGGAACCAGCATAGACACGAGATTTGTAACACTGATTTACAACAACATTCTGACAATTTATATATATATATACATATATACACACACACACACGAGATCTAATATTTTAAATGTTAAATTAGAATTATACTTCTAATTTAATCCCAAATAGGGTTTGTCCAGAACATAGTAGTCACTAGTATGAATATTTCATGCAGCGTTGAAAATGCTTCAAGAAATGTGTGACCTAGACCAATCGGTTAAAAAACAGGATGAGGAGATTGTTTTCTCTAGCAAAGGATACTTGAATATGTATAAATGTTTTGTGCAATTAGAACTGCAGACACAATACAAAGAGAAGATATAACACAAAGCATATTGTATAGAAAAAAATCAACAAATGCTATAACTGGATGAGAAAGAAAATGAAATCTTGTGTAGTCTAAAAATAATCAAAGAACAGTAAATGTCCTCTTGGGTAACACTTCAGAGCAAAGAATGGATACTGTATTGCTAGAGCAATAATGAAATCAAACATTTGTATATTGCAACAAGCGACACTGTCTGACAGCTGAGGGAATACTATAAAAGTTGTCTGGCTGTGCATATTCACATTCCTTCCAGGATGAAATGTCACACGGACAGGCCAAATAGAAGAGAAACATTCTGTAAACTTTGTGTTTCTTCTACTGCCCTAGAGACATAAAATCAGAGCTTGTTTTCATAAGCTGGGTGCTAAAACATATTTCTTAATCAAGTTTTTATTTCTGGTATATTTTCTACTCTGTAAATTGCCAATAAATGCTATTTTTGCTTACTATAAACAGAATACGGCTTTGATTTTTATAACCGGATCTAGAATTCTTCTAGAGAAGTGTTATGGAAGGACTGGTAGGTACCATTCTGGGGTCAGGAGGAAGGCCAAATGATCCAAAGGCACAAAGCATTATTATGGATTCATGATCTCATCCTATTGGGAAAGAATAGGCCATACTGTTTAATGTGGGACACAGGCAGATGTATACATTTAGGGGGAGGTTTTTAAGGACACAAATGGGAGTATGGCACCCATCTCCCCTTACACACATACGTACACAGAACAAAAAACATACATCTACATTTCCTGCTATAAGCATGATCCGTCAGGGGTTATCACATATACGAAGAATAGGCAGGGTGTCAGTCGGACGTTAAACTACTGGAGGACCATTTCTGGAAGAAACGTTAGATGGGGAAAAGGCTAGGGTTTGTTTTGCAATCAACCCATCATAACACAGGAGGATATCTGAGACAGCTTGGGGCCGACAGCCAACAGCCAATGCAAGCAAAGCAGTGTCTACACAGACACGGCGTCGCCCAAGCTACATTGACAGAAAGTGCTACGCCGCTCGTGGAAGTGGAGTTATAATGTCGGTGCAGAGGGCCACTTACTTCGGCGGAAGCAGCATTGTATGCAGACACTCGCATAATTAGGTCGCTGTAAGCTGCCTTATGTTGACCTAACTCTGTAGTACAGACCAAGCCTGACTGTAAAAGATAAAACAGGGTCACAAGAGAATTTTTCAGCTCTGCTGTTTGAACTCTTACAGGCCCAGAGACTCTGAATTGAACCGAGAGCTCACCCAGGTTTATCCCTGGATTTGCCCTGAAAGACTTTTCAAATTGACAGATCATTACAAATCTGTCACTCTTGGGATTTGGATCACAACTCATTTGTGTGTATGTGTTTGCTCTCTGTAAATAACACTTCTTTTTCCTAGTTAATAAACCTTTAGCTAGTTTATTACAGGATTGCTACAGACGCTGTCTTTGGCGTAAGATCTGGGGCACCAACTGACCTGGGATAAGTGACTGGTCTCTTGGGACTGGGAGCAACCTGACTGTGGTGTGATTTTTGATGTAAGTGACAATTTATCACTAAGTCCAGCTTGCCTGGGTGGCAAGACAGACTGGAGAGTCTAAGGAGACTGTCTGACTCCAGGGTAAAACTGTTATAGTGATCTAGGAGTTCCCATTTGTCACTGGCTTGGTGAAATCTAATTATAGAACACACTACCAGTTTGGGGTGTCAGTCCTGTTTCTGACAGTCTGCCTTGAGATAGGCACTCATGGTTGTGAGCCACTCCAGACAGCATGACAGAGATAAGGAAGGAATGTCTTGTTTTGTTTCTCATAGGGAGAATCTAATTGTTCCAAATGAGAGCTTTACATTGATATTTTACATTAATAACAGCATTTGTTCATAAGAGTTTGCTCAAGTGTTTAGTTCAGTAGCATTCCTGCTGGTGTTTGGACATTTTTGCTTTAAAATATTGCGAGGGATATTGAGATTTCTTTGTACTGCCTAGCCTGGAACACTACAGGGAAAATTTTATTTATTTATAAATGTATAACCTGATTAAATTCAATGGAGCCGTAGGAATCTAAATGCGGGGGACAATTTGACTCTGTATCTGCTGCTTTATAAATAATATTCTAACCCATATTAAGATTTCACTTTCACATTAACAGAAGTCTTACTGAAAAAATACGTTTTTCACCCTACAAAAGTAGTACAGGATTCACACTAATTTTTAGATGCTAACAGAATGCATGTTATGCTAATAACTTTGTATATTAGCAACTGTTGTAATATGACAGTACAGAACAAACATGTAAGCAACAAAATCAAACGGTACTTGCAAAGCTTCAATGTACCAGCCTACTAAAAATATGGTTAATCTGTGAATATTGAAATAATTAAGCAACTGAACACAATGGGCAGTATTTCTGGACTACTGCAGGCCTCTGGCTTACTGTGAACCAATCCCCAAGTGATTTCTACTACTCCGGAAACATAACAACCCTTGAGAACACATTGGTAGTTGGAAACTTATTGCTATCATGAAATGGGGGTTATAAACAAAGAAGGGACCATATAGCTGTATTTGTATCCCTACTGTCTATTGCAGTTAGAGCACTGATTAGTCACTCAGCAGTAGTCTAAACCTGTCCTCTATGAATGTGATTTCCTTTACTGACTGTATTTGTTCACCTCTGAAAGCAATCATAAACAACTCAAATTATGTCCTTCCAGATTAAGTCAGGTCTATGCCAGAAACTATAAATTTGGCCTTTACTGCCAACTTATGACATAATGAATGTTTGTTTGTTTTAAAATAGAAGGTACTTAGAATATAAAACTAAATATGTTAAAAATAAACAACAATAAGCTGAATGGCTGCATGTTAAAATGCTAAGAGTTTAAACAAGCCCCTCCTAAAGATATCTGTGTTACAGTCTACGTTAGTGAGAGATCAGAACATACGGCTGGAGAGCATCCAGACATGGTCAGGGGTCGGTATAAGTACATGAGGTCTGGGAATTAGGTAAGTCATGAGAAAGAACGGTTACCCACCCTACAATAAAACTGTGGTTCTTCCAAGTGCTGCAGGATCCTGCAGCAGGTGTGCACACGCCTCGTGCACGCGATATCAGAGTCTTTTGAACAGCAGCGTGTGTCATGGCTGCACATGGCCTGTGCCTCCTGGTGGGAGGGCAGGACTCTCCTTCAGCGCTCGCGCAGACTGCAGCCCTGGTTAGCTGAAGACTCAGAAGTGGGAATAGAGGGCAGGTTGTGGGATCTACACTGACAACCACCTCTCGCAGAACTCGTAGGGTAGGCGACGTTTTTTTCTTCCAGCATGTGTGAGCATGGCTCTCCCAAGGGTCTCAGAGTTCCACCTGAACCAATCAGTTAAAAGAAAGGGGTCAGGCAGCTCCCAAAGGCGGTGGCAGCCTTAGCCAGTACTGCCATCAACCCCACTGCCCCTGTGAGGGCCCAGGGTGTACGGTGGAGGACAGTGACTACAGGTGGCCTCTGGCATATCAGGGGCTTCTCCTGGGTCACTATTTGGACGGTCAGCCCCAACAGTAAGGGGATGTCCTCTGGCTCTGCTTGGTTTATGTGTTTTCTGATGAGGAAGTCAGTATTCCGAAACACCCAAGACCGGCACAGCCCTTGAGTCTTTCAGTGAATGGAGAGCGTTGTCTGTTCTGCTGCTAAAGACCTTCCCATCCCTTCAAAGGGCAGATCCTCTCTGGGGGCTTGAACTGCCGTTGATATACTGGACGTTAGAACCCATGATCTTGCCTCATCATGACAGACATGGGCACTGACCTCGCAGCTATGTCGGACGATGGCCATGATTTTAGTGACAATTTGGCCCACCCATGATTTCTTTTAGCTTCTCTCTGTTCTCCTGTGGGATCTGAGACAGGAAGGGAGCGACCCTTACCTAAGTGAGGAAGTTATGTTTTGCAAACAAGGCCTGGTAGTTTGCAACCCGGCGTGGCAGTGAGGCAGAGGAGAATGCTTTGTGCCCAAAGAGGTCTTTACCCTTAGCCGTGCCCTCTGCAGACTTTGCCTTCTCCTGCACTAATACCACCACTGGGGATCCTGGTTTTGAGTGGGCCTAGAAATGTTCAAAGCCCTTCACGACACCTGGTATCTCTCTTCCACTCATTTAGAGTCCAGGATCTCTGAAATATGGGACAGGAGATTTTGGAATGCCTTGAGTTCATCGGTGCTCAGCATAGGGGCTGGTGTAACTGCCTTGTCAGGCAATGAGGCTGGGTCCTCAGGTGGAGACGGGGGTTGCGGCTGTCTCTCCACTATCTCCTGCTTGTGTGGAACAATAGCCAGCTCCTGTGTGGGTGGCCTGGCTAACGATGCCCCTGGAGAACAGGGTCTCCTCCTTGTCCGGGATGTGCAAAAGGCAATCTGCTCCAGGATACATGCAGCGATGGTCCCCGATAAGACCAATATGGCCAAAGAAGCATACTGTGGGGTACTGGCCTGGCCGATGTTGTGGCTGGCCCAGTGCAAATCTCACCTTATCTACTGAAGGGCCCTTGTTTAGAGCCCCGCAGTACTCTCCTGGGGGTCACCCTCTGAGGGTAGGGGAGAGGGACTCCCACTTGATGCCAGTGAGGAGGAGTAGGTCGGCAGGGTGAAGAGGAGCAGGTTTCTGAAATGCTGGTGTCGGGGAGTGACACAGACTCAGTGCTCGTCCCCACTTTGGTGCAGAGGATGTCCCCTCCAGAGACCAATTCCTCCACAGACAGCTCCTTGGCACTGGGTTGGATTTGGCTCTCTTTTTTTGGAACAATCCCAGTGTTGATGGAGGGTCTCAGATGTTTTGTCTTTGGAGAAGTAGTGTTTTGTACCCTTCTTACTAGATGATTCTGCATGGTCTATACATGGTCTGGCTTGGCCTCTCGGCATCAGCCTTTCCATCCTGAGCATAGGTGCTGCACCTACTGCTGGGGCTTTGTTGATGACCCTTTTGCTGCTTTTTCCTCCCTGATCCCAGGATATGGTGTGTGTTCCAGGAAATGCAGGTGGAGGCTCATTCTAAGCTCTGCTTTTGCGCTTGCTGTTTCCTCTGGGTCCAAAGTGACTCACACGGATTGTTCTAGCAGGTGTAACTTGAGCTGAGTGTCCCGGGACGTGTGGGTCCCTGAGGACAAGGACAGGTATATGGTCCTTCCCAGGCAGGAGAAGCACTGGCTGTGCCTGTCAGCTAGGGGGATGAGTTCATCTCAAGATGGGCAGGAACCCCGATCGCTTAGACATCCATGAGATGTGGCGGGCAGCACGAGGCCCCAAACCCGTTGTAAGGGGGTACTGGAGCGTTTCTGCTTCTTTGTTTTGGAAACATCCAATGTGCGGAAGAAAAGGGGTGAAGACAAAGTTTCTTGACCAAATTAGTGACAAAAAGGAACAAGTTTTGAAGCTCAGAAGAGAGTAGCAGGTTGCACATTCACCAGGTTCTCTCTCACAGCCACAGGCAGTAAGAGGGACCTGAGGAAGGGTCGCAGCCACCCTGCCCTTTATGTCCTTGCATGGAAACACGAGGAGCAAGGTGCACGTGTGGCCCTGATGGACACTCCTATTCAAAAGACTCCAATCTCTCATGCATGAGGCACATCCAAATCTCAAAGAACAGCATCAATATGCCAGCTTAACACAGTTCAGGAGGTGGCTCAGGAGAGCACCCCCTAAGGGAGGAGACAGGGGAGCAAACAACTGGGATGACATGTTACCAGAGCACAAACCAAGTGGGTAAGCTGGGGAGAGTATATCACCTACACTGGCTCGAATGGTCTTTGTTGCTAATCATTTCCTGGCGGAAAATGGTCCTGAACTCCAGCCAGCACCAGAGCAGTTCCCACACCCAGGTAGCATGGAGGAGACCCCGAGGAAGGTGGAGGGAGAGAAAATTGAGGTAGCTCAGGGAGACAAATTGGGTGCCGAGAGGAGGAAGAGGCAGGGATGATGGGAGGGAAATTGGACCAGGAAGAGAGGAGACCAAGCATTTAAATATATGATAGTGACATGACAATGGCCGGTAGTTTTAACGTACGGAATTGGCAACCAACGGCAGTTAAAATATAATGGCTGTATTTTTATGACGGCATTACATCAAAGAATAATTAATTTCAGTATGTATGTTTTTCCTTTGTCAAAGGAACAGGAATGAGCTGGTAAATAATGCTTAGAAGTGCCAAGCCAGTTTTTAATTACCTTTGTTTTGCTTTTTCATCCGGATGGTTGTTCTTTTAAAAGTTGTTGTAATATCATGGTAAACTGAAAATAAAAATAATATTGTTACAGTATAATTCTCTAAGAATTATGCAATTCAACGAAATTACAGAATATCAACATATACAGAGTCCAGAACTCTGATAAGAAAATTATAGCTTACTCTCTTTTAAGAATTTTAGCAGAAGGACACATCTAGATAAAATTCTAAAACAAAATGACCTTTTTACAACAGCAAATATAACTGCAATATTATATAGACAGAATCAACAGTCACTTGCAAAATACAGAGTATTAATAAGCAGGTTATGATCCCACCCTGCTTTGCACAGTGTTTATATATGGCGCAAACTTACCTCCTTCCTGGGATTTAGGCTTAGTGGTAACAAACAAACTCCCACCCCACCCAAAAAAACAAAACAAAACCCCCTGAAAAACCCTCAGCCTAAGATTTCTCCCCAAGCTTGGCTGTTCCTAGGGTTTCCCTGCAAGTTATCCACTGTCCCAAGACCTTAGGTTGCTTTAGTCCTGAGAGACAATCCAAATCCCCTTAGTGCTTGGCTGGAGCTAGCTGGACACATAGGATCTAACCTCAGAGGATACATCTGCACTGCATTTTAAAACCTGTGGCAGTGAGTCTCAGAGCCTGGGTCGACAGACTCAGGCTCGCTGGGCTCATGCTATGGCACTGAACACAGCTGTGAAGACAGTTGGCTTGGGCTGGAGCTCGGGTGCTGAAGCCCGGCGATGAAGGGTGAGTTTCAGAGCCTGAGCTGCACCGTCTACCCGGCAGACACGGGCTCCGAGACTCACCACCGTGGTCTTAAAATGCAGTGTCAGCGTACCCAGAGCAACTCAGCACCTCTAGGGCGGGGGTTCTAGCACTTGGGCTGAAGATGGCTCAGCGGAAGAGTCCTGTGCTGCTCTGCAGGGCGCTAGAACTGCCAGCTGGTAACATGGCCCCAGACTACAGTTGTGGAATTATCACTGGCCTCGGAATAAGCCCCAAGGAGACCCCAGAACTTTATTTTATCGACTTAAAAGGAGATGGTAAATTTAACAAAATCACTTCTGTCTGAAATTTTTTTAATGATACCGGATACAAACACCACCCAAGATTACTACAACTGAAAGAGATTACTCCATGTTTTCACGTTGTTTCCTTTGGACATTCTGCAGTGCTTGATGTATAGTCCTTACTCCTGCTCCCAAGGGCCTTTCACACGACATAATTCAGAGAAAAATATTTCTTACAAGTAAACCATAAAGAGTGGCAGGATGAGGGGGGAAAGGAGTTTCAGCTGGATGCTTATGTGCCCGACACTCCTCCCATTCTTATTAACTGGAGCATCTAATTCACCCTCCAAAACCCTACTACTCATCTCCATTTGTGACAGGATGGGCACAACTAGGTTTAAGGAACGAACACTGATGTCGGGTGCCAGACTAGTAAGTAGCTCCCATGTCCTAAAACTCTGGGTGTGACACCACTGCTGATCTTTTTCCATTATATAGCAAGACCCTTTGTGAGGTCTGCAGAAGAGCGGCTGGCGGGGAGCTGTAGGGATCCCCGTCCCTCGCAGAGGCTAGGAGTTGTGGGGTACCCCCACTGCCCATGGTGGCTGGGAACTTGGGGGCCCACTGCCTCAGGTAGCAGGGGTACCTTGCAGCTCCCTGCCACTGCGGGAGGCATCAGGACCCTGTAGCTCCCAGCCCCCGGGGTGGAAGTCACGGATTCCATGACTTCTGCGACCTACGTGACAAAATCGTAGCATTATGTATAATGCTTTGTGTAATAATGATTTATTCTATAGAGCTGTATACTAATGTTTTTCACTGACTGTCTGGTATAAAGAGAACAGTACACAGTACTAGAAGATACTACACACGTATTTAAGGTTAGAAAACATTTTATACGTCATTAAATTGCATTATTTGAGAAGCAACAACAGTGAAGCCTGTTTTGTGGGCAACCTGAGCTTTGGCTTTGTGTTTTTATTTGAATGTTCGACCACGCAATGTTCACGTTCTCTTAATGTTGTTTTTGGTCTAGAATTCCTTGGGTCTTTTAAATAGAACATGAGGAAAAATCATACATCGCTTCACACTAGAAGACTCTGAAACCTGCTTAGTGCAAAGCGATGGCCATAGTTCAATGCTGTAATCTACCACGGTTTGCCTGGACAGCACCAGGACTCCTTCCTGCACACTCAGGAGCTCTGCTGGACACAGGATCTCTCCTAAGGTGGCAGGAGGTGTGCAGGAAGATTATTTTTCTTCATAGTAATGCCCAGAGCCCCAATCAGGATCAGGCCCACTGTGCTAGTATGCGACACACATATGGGAGGACACTCTGCCTGCTGTGGGGCTCATCTCCTGAGAACCTGAGTTACTCTGGAGCTACCAAAGAGCATCAAACGCTGAACTCCTCCCGCCCTAATGCACCAGATGCCAACATTCCCTTTTCCAGAGGCCTGCAGGAAGAGACCGTGACTTGCTGGGGTGCTTAGGAAAAGTGAAGTGGTTTGAGAAGGGCACGGGGCCAGCAAGTCAGCTATAGGAAGCAGGTGACTTATACAAGGTGCAGGCCCAGCAGAGGTCAAATTGTGCTCGCATAGATCTACACGAGCTGTAAACGCTATAAGAGTTTTAACGAGTCTGAAAGTCTTGGCATCTCTTAGGTTTTCGAGATTCAAATTTTAAACTTGGGGGGGAAAAAAAAAATCTCCCAGTTTAGTGCATGGGGAAGAGCAACCCATATTATGAGACCAAGCCACGACTTCGCTTTGTTGATCTTCCTATAACTGTTGATTTGAGACTGAATGAAAATAAAGGGTAAACTGGATATTCATCCCAGATAATGGTGACTATTTTTGCACAGCGGTCGGCACGGAACTATCTGACGCGATCAATATGTCTAGCCAGAACAGTCTGGGGCTGAGATTTAAGAGAGCACACTGAAGGAATGGAACAACACAAGCAGAATTACAATGTAATACGTTCAGGCAAGAAAAAGTTTAGTTATTATGTTTCCTTTTGTAACAGCTGGCTGCAGGTTGGTGTTTTTAACACCAGTTTGAAACTTTTAAAGGAGGAGTCTAAAAAAAACAAAAAACCCTTCGTACTTACTTGTGTAGTTCTGATATCGCTCTACATAGTGTAAATAGTGAATTGCTCTGTTCTTTGCCTAGAAAACAAACAAGCAAAATATTTCTTCTTACAATAATTGTTAAAGTTACTTTGACTGGAGTACCTCAAATCTGCAGCTGTTCATCCAAACAAAACTACACTCAGGAAAACGAGAGTCACTTTTCGCCCACCTCGATGCCATACTGAATTTCAACAATTCTAATCAAATAAAATGTTTTCGACTAAGTGGATGCAGTCTCACATAGATTTATCTTCACTCAGTAACAGTGGTATCCAAGTTTGGTTATTTTATCATTACTGTTGATGACAACTGCGCTGGGCGTTACAACATATGAGCAGCATTCCTGGAAACCATGTGTCATTCTAAAATCTAGGGAAGACTTGAGAAAGCCACTATGCTTCAGAGAAAAACAAAAAACCTATGCTGACTGGGGTGCCTGAGCATTAGAAGTCTTAAATTGTAACCTGAAACTCTACAGACAAGGGTATTTGTCCTAAAAAAAGAACAACAAAAGCAACCCCTAACCAAAATAAAAACACATACAAAAAAGCAGTCAGAAAAAAAAATTTAAATTAGATTTTTTAATAAAGATTTTTCCTTCTTTCAAAGATACTGCAACTCTGAAATGAAAGTAACTGGGAACAATGCATATAAAGTTACCAGAGCCATCCCTGTTCATGTATTTTTTCGAAATACAACATGTCAACTGCAAGAGATAGTAGTATCCAATTTGGGACACCCATGAATAAGTGAACCTATTACTAAAACGAACAAACTATTTATTTTGTATCCAGGCAAAACTCTATTAATAGTGTTTACTAAACACTGATACTTACAAACATTTCTATATTTGATAACTACAACAGGTATGAAATATTTACATTTACTTTTTAAATTACATACTTTTCTTAAAGCTGTCATCCTGTCACTTGCTTTCCCCACTGCAAAACCTGAGAGAGACAAGTAGATGCATTATTAAAAACATATACACAATGTAAACAGTACATACTTACTCCTCTTACAGGGGTTCAGCGAGAGCTATGTGATTAAACATGTCATTTCTACTACCCTAACCTCAGCACCTGTTATTTCCACTCCACTGAATTAGACATATGAAAGAAATGGACAAGAAAAAGACCCATAAAAATGTAACATTTACAACTATCTAACAACTGGATGCAGTATTGTTGTAACAATCAAAGTCAAATCAGGTTGGCCAAGGAAAGAGATTTCCAATCCCTCATACCTTACTGTTGTGTCCAAGAGGGACCCCTCTGTTTAAAGAGCTTCAAGACACCTGCCAACTTTTTGGAAGTGGGGGAACAGAAAACAAAACAGGCATAATAGCTGCAATAGTAAAAAAAAAACAGTGGAACCAAAAACAAGAGGTAAGAGTGGCTAAATAGGGTGATTGTACAGAGCCAAACATGGGGAATATGAAAATCAAGTTTTACCAACAGAGAGAAACAGCAGCAAAGCACATAAACAAGTTAAGATAAGAAACCCTGAACCTTCCTCTTACATTCTAGTACATGCTGTTACTATAGCTAACAGAAAAAAGTTAGTACAAGAACTTCACTGAATTCTGGGATCTAGTCCTATTTTTATTAGTACTGTGGTACTGTCAATAGACAATGCTTGTCCCGAAAAGCATAGAGTCAGCTTAAGAGAAGACAATTGAGAGTGACAGACAACAGGAGAGAGGATGAGGGTTATAGGCTATATTACAATTACGTAGGCTGACAACATGCACAAGGGGTGGTTCCAAATCATGGATTTGGGATATTTTGGTTTTTGTTGTTGTTGTTTTGGCAGGTGATGGGGGTTGTAACCCTGCTCTAGGACCTGGCCCAAAGCCCACTGAAGTCAGTGTGAGCAGGCCCACCACTCACTTCTTGCATGAATCACAGCAAAGGCAGGTCTTGAGAGAGGATCTGAAGCAGGCGGTAGCATTGTGGACTCAGTTGGGAGGGGGTAGCATGGAAGAAAGTGTGGAGATAGGTATGGGAGAAATGAATAATCAGATGGTCAAAGTTGGCCTCATTAACACAGAAAATCTTACTATCACTATCTGATTCCAGATGGCCGTAATTCTGTGCAGATGCCATGGATGCACCTTAATTCTGGCATTTCCTAACTTCTGAGTGCTGGACTTTGGTACCTTAATGTTTGTGTAATGTAGTTTTGTGTATGTATATGAGACATACACACATGAAGGTTGCGAAGTCAAGGATTCAAAAGCTAGGAAATGCCAGAACCAATGGCGCTATGATACGTATGCATCATGGAACCATCTTTAATTGAATGATCACATACTATGTTTATCATGGAATGGAAGGGCAAGAGCATGGAAGGCTGGTAGACTATTTCAACATGGGCAAAACTAAGTATTTTCCTTTAGCCTTGATCTCAGAAATGGCTGAAGTACTTTGGCTGTAATTTTCAAAAAAAATATTCAGCCTGAGAGAGACACCCCGCATGGAAAATCTCATCCTACATGGTTAGAGTCTAGCTAAGTTTTAAGCAATTGAAAATAGGGACTTATACTGGGACGTATCAGGCAACCTTAATAATAGGTGGTGCTACTTGCTCTGCCCATAATAAAACGAGACCATTTACTTCTGTGACGTGAACTCTTTGCGTATGTCTCCAAAACGGAACTGCTTTTATTGCAGCCATATAACAATACACTCATATGTAACGTCCTGTCCGCTGTCACCCTTACAATACACCCCTGGTTCCTACTTCTTGCTAGGTTTTACCAACACCATTAGCTTGCATTTTCCAGGCTGAATCTCAGTTTAATTCCTCCCGTTTCTATTCTCTCCAAGTCCCTTTGGCACTCCAGTTACAGCCCAACGTACGTGGGAACCACCCACAAAATGGGGAGGAAACCTTTTTTTTTTTAAGAAAACAACTGATAGCATTATATTTTCAAGAATGCTTGTTAAATAAAGCTTGTCCTGCATGCAAAAGGTTAACTCTTTTATTATATAATTTAAAGAGAGTCAAACTGATTCCCATGAAGCAGAACTGGCAAAGAATAAATAATCGCAGCGTAACAAAGGGCAGCCATGCAGTTTGTTTGGAGATCTCATTATGACAAAACGCTAAGTCTGTCTAGTATTACTTTGTCCTCACAGTTTAGTCCAATGCTTCAACAAATGTCTCACGCAAACCCTGGCTACTGAAGTGAGCAGGCACTGTTAAATTTTTGTAACTGACCAGATGAAACAGAACCTTTAGAGATGAAACTTGTATTTATTTAGAAAGCATGTGTAGTTTTCTGGCTCAACTTTATATTTCCAGTGCACACTTACTGTCTGTTGGCATCTAAGTTTTAAAATACAAAGTGAAAAATACAAGTGTTTATAGGCCTAGCAGCCTTATGGAATGTTTTCCCTTTGTTTTACATTAAAAATGTGCTGTGAAGAGTACTCTGATTTATTTTTCTCTTCGCGGGGGCAAAGCAAACCAGCTAAGAGGGCTTGTCTACATAAGAAGTTGAATAGTGGTATAGTTAAAGTAGTATAGCACCTTACTGCGCATATAAAAGGTGCACAAAGGTGCTTTATATCAGTATAGCTGTTCCCGTATGGGAAGGGGAATAAGAATAAACCCGCATAAGGCACTTCTATACGGGTATAACTGAATCCACACTATGGGTTGGATTGGTTTAACTCTATCAGTAAAAATCACCCTCCTACATGACAATTATAGCAGTATAAAAACTGTGTGTTGACCAGGTGTCAGAGGTCAATTCTATTCACTAGGCAATGACATCATCAGCACAAAGGGGGTTTAAATGAGAATATTTCTTTAGCCATTTTTAATGATCAAAAAAAGGTTAGGAGAAGGTTTTTCATGATGCATGGTGCTGGATTCCTGAGACACCCATTCACACTACGTGAAGTACTGGGCACATTGCCTTTGCCTACCCTATATAATTTTAGGAAGAGATTTGCTCTCTAGTCCAGCTGAAGTAGCAGGAGCTCAAGTGTAGACAAGTCTCTGGTGGATTTCAGCATTTTTTACCTTTATTAATTAGCCCGTCTCCTCAGTAAGTTCAATGAAGTGTTGAAGACATCAGAAACCATTGGAGCTTTGTCTACATTAGGGCTCCCATCAGTGCTAACACTGGTTCAGCTGAACTGGTTGTATATTTTCCCCCAAATTCCCTCATTTGCATATGGGCACACAGGGAGACTTAATACACTTCCCCTTTTGTTTGCAAAGAAAAGGTACGTGTGATTGGGGCCTTGTCTGACTTAGATTGCTAATGTCTCCTTTGAAGAAGGAATCCTCGCCCTGACTTTAATGCAGCATTTCCCAAACGTTTGAAAGCTGAGATCCACTCTGAGGAAAATTAAGCCAACCACTCCCCTCTAGCCAGCCTCTAGTCTTCCCTTCTTCTTGTATTGAGAAGCTTGTAAATACTTGTCTTCAAATGCACCTGTCCACAGCCAATAATTATTAGACCCATCACAATCTGAGGTTTCTATTTTTTTCAGTTTGCTTTGTGCAACTGACAGCACTTTATCTACAGTTAGTTTCGTTGATGCCCTAATACATAGTAATTTTCTTCCATGTTGAAGAAACCGATATAAATATCTGCAGGGGAGAAGTAAAACAAAACTGGTAAAACCCTGAGCTGCTGATGTCAACGGAAGTCTTGCCATTGACTACACTTCCAGGGTTTCATCAAAGTATTTTATTTTTCATTAACATTCCTGGATGTACTATTTAAAGAGAACTCCATCAGAAACTGGATTTTTTTTTTTAAAAAGAGTAAATTTCTATAAAGTAACAAAGTTTAGTGTGAGCAAGAAGGTAGCATAGAAAATGTTACAGACTTATCCTATAATAAAGTAAATGTAGACTTATCCTATAATAAAGTAAATCAGGCATTAAATTTCAGATGGAAGAAATAATACTTTGGACAGATTATACTGAGGTACAGGATGAGAAAAACAAAAAGAAATAACCTTCTATCCAGTTGCCTAACTGGGAAAAAACTCGTAAGGGTACAGGAATCAGTCCTACCATCCTGTCATACACTGGTTACAGCAAGTGTGGCATGTACTAGAGAAGATAAAACCTATTTTCAGAACATGGAAATTGCCATAAGTTTGGTCCCCCTTTCTTAATGACTTTAATTGTTCTAATGAACACTCCAAACCACTCAACGTCATAAAGCTTTGGAGGTTCTTTTTAATCATAAATAATGTGATGCCCCAAAGCAAAAAGGAACAGCATGAAAAGGAAATCACATACTCCATTTTGATCTGCCAGTGATATTGCCTTTGTCACTCAGGAATTAAATAAGAGTGGCTGTTATAACTGACAATTATACTCTAATCTTATTAGTATATTACTTTGTTTTGTGTAAAAGAAAATAGAAGTGTCCTTGATGGGCATTTTTTTCATAATCATCACTGATTGTACATTTCCATTGTAAACCTTGATTCTACTGTTCTTTCTCTTGGTATATTGATATGTATGTTAATATTCCACCCCCAAAATGAATTTGTTGTTTAAAAACCAATCAGATTAATAAACATCCCTTTGAACAACATGCTTCCCACAGCCCTACCCCAGCATCATTCACTTGGCACCTTTCAAATACATTATGATTACACCTACCTGCAGCCCCATTTCCATTTCCAACAACCACTAGGGCACTAACTGATCTTCTTCTGCCTTCCTTTGCTGTCATATTAAATACATGTTTCACCTGACGGAAAAAACCAAAGCAGTTTGCTATGAGGCACTTTGTCTTCTTAAAAAAAAAATTAATCACTTTACTAAAAAGACAGATTTGTAAGAGAAGAGCTTAGACACATGCTACATTTTTGTGAATGAATATTATATAGAATGGGAACTGACTTTAAAGATTTAAGTCTGCTAAAAATTCTGTTACTGTATTAACTAGTGCACAACAACATAAAATAAGCATTACAGTGTGGCTTCACTAAAGCAAAAGGAACATTTTCTGTGATCTCCTCTGTACTGTTTAGTTACATAATAAATGAACATCCTGTATTATGATCAACTTCACACTTAATTTCAAGCATCCTGCTTAAGAAATATCACAGCAAAGAAAGAAAATTAATGAAAATGTAAAAAGACATTAACGTCTTGCTTCCCACCTCAAACTGACACATGTTAGAAGCTCTCTCATAGAAACTGCTCAAGGCAGGTTATTGCTTTATACCATTTGAAGACTGGGATCCCAAATTACTTACTGAGGCAGTGGCAGCTAATCTGATTTCCAGGGGTAAAGATACTAATACAAATTCTACACATACTTCCAAGTACAGTGAAAATATCACTGATTTCAGAAGAATTGGACACAAAAATCCGCAGTACTGCAATGGAACCCACTTCCTGGCTCTGCCAGACTCCCTCTTGCAATTACTTCACGTCTGCGCCCAAGTTCCCATCTGTAAAATGGGGTAATGGTTCCTTTCTCCCACCCTTTGCTACTTGAGGTTTTTTTATATCACCTACTGGTATTTCCTGATTTAGTACCTCAATATTACCATATTGCATGGAGAGAGAGTTTTTTTTGCCATTCATTTCCCAGGATAGGCTTTCCTTGTCCTTTTGGAAAGGGGGGGGGGGGGAGAAGAGATACCCTGTACGAGGGTACACTTTCTGGAAACACCAATATGATTCCTTTACAGTATAGCACCAACAGCTGAATTACAATTAATACAAGCATATTTCAAGAAGCACAATCCTTTTAATAATTGTATTAGTGTCTCAAGAAGTCAGTCTCGTAGCAGCAACATTTGGGGGAGGATTTCCAAAAAGCACTCTGCGTTGGCCTCATTCTGTTCCCCCTGACATACAAAGGAAAACTCCCATTGGCTTCAAAGGGAACAGCCCAAGAGTGAGACCCTCTGAAAACCCCTTGGTTTTCATTACAGTAATTATGTTAAATTCAAGATGCACACATTCTAGAGATGCATCATCTTTACATACTCTAAGCTTTACTAACAGCTTGTTACAAGTTAGTAGTTTTTCCTTTGACTTATATTTGGCAGGAATGGCCTGATCAGCAAAGATCCTTGAAAGAAAGACAGAAAGACAGAAATACAGACCCATGCAGGTAATTTGATATAGGAAAGAAACCCTGTAATAATATGGAACAACAGAAAACAAGCTGAAGTAGAATGAAAGGTGCACCTCAGCCTCTCCTACTCTCTCTCTATCTCTCTCTCTTTGTGTGTCACATAATAGCCTATTCTCCTGTGGGCTGTAATACTTCTGTTCAATTTTGGTTGTTGGGTTTAGTGAGTGAGTGCTGGATGGTGCTGGAGACTTGTGACATACAGGAGGTGATTTGGTGTTCCTTCTTGCCTTAAATGCTATGATTCTGACAACGAAAGCTGCTCTTCATGCTGTATCTAAAATATACGTTTGCTCTGCATGCAATGGTGTGTGTGCTTAAACCACATTCCTAACATGTGCGTGCACATACAAAGGTGGATATGCCTAGGCTCAAAAAGCTGGGATTACAAGTATCTACGAAGACCTTGTTTTTCTCCCTTCTCCAGGAGGTGGCAATCACAACACATGGAATGGGCTCCTTAAGAAGAACAATTTCGAAAACTGTACTTGTCAGCTGTTTCTGAGCAGCTCTGAAGGAAAATGTGTTCAGTCACCCATCAGAATCAGAGCGATCACATCTCTCTTCAAACTCTGTAAAGGCCTTTCAAGCTTGGTAATGTGAACAGACAGCCATGACTGTTAGAACATCAGTGTCCTTAGATTCTATCTATCTTTCTCCCTTTGCCTTATTAAATCAAAGAACACATCCCTTTTCTGGAACACAGTCCACAGTATTCCCCTCCCTACTTCGGAATTAGACTATGCAGCTGAAAGCACATCATTATGAGACAATGGAATTAATTAATACAGAATTAACAGCTTGTCACTTTTATAAACAGCACAGCTCAAAAAAGCGACTGAAATCAAGTCACAATTACCCATTTATTAGACCTTGATTCAACCCAGTTTTAATGCTAACCTTTAAAATCTGTACACTGATATATTGTCAACCTTAGTCACAGTGTATGTATCTTGAATTGATTCTCCTCACTTCATTCATTATTCAGTGCTAACACATTTAAATTCAGCTTTCTCTGGAGAAATGAAAATAACAGAGCACCTCTTTGAAAAACCAAACCAAACCACATAAAATATTTATTTATAAAAAGGAAGGAAGAGCTACAGTTTCAACGGAAGAATAATGGCAGTACAAATCAGGATGCTATAGCCTAAAGAGAAGCTGCAGAAGTAACTCGTGCTCTTATTTGGATCTTGCCCCTAGACCCATCCATAGAATAAACTTCTGACCCAAGCGTGGTGGTGTTTTCAACTCAGGCTAGTTGGCCTGACTGGTAATATAGGCTAAAGCCCAAGTGCTGCTTTCACTCAGGTAACCCATGCACTTTGCAGTGAGGATGCAGGCTAAGCTACTCGAATGCCGACAGTCCTCCAATGCCTTCCTACAATTCCCCGTGTGTGCCCAGGACAAACTCTCCCACAATTTGCTCGGAAAGAATCAGAGGGTCTCAGCTCACTGCAGCACTAAGAACTATATGATGTGCCCACATAAGTCCTAGAGACCCACATGAGTATGTGCAGCACCAGAGTGGACACAGTAACTCAAGTGTGGCTCGCTCACACCTGAACTGGGATAACCCAAGTGTTGATCATCTGGGTTACCGCTGCAATGAAGGCATATCCATAGAGGTAATATCAGAAATTGTTTTTGTTTATTTTCATAGGAGGATCTGTAAGTCAGAACCACATTCCAGGCTACCAAACTGTAAATTACTTCATAGTTTAATGTTCCACTCGCAATCTCTCAAACATCCCAAGCCAACGATTTATAGGCTGGGAGGCTGAATGATGAAGGTAGGAAGATTTGTTTATAAAAATACAAATTGCAATTGGCATCAGAAAAACCCTATTTTACAGACAGACCAAATTCTAACCCCCAAACTATCTGAAAAAGCTTAGTTTATGGCTGTGACCTCTCATTCTCTTATTGGTAACATTTCGGGTGCTGTTCTCAAAGGTGGTTTAAAAACAAACAAACATAGGAAATGCTTTTCATTGTATCTGATGGACATTGTCAACATTATCCAGAGAAAAGACGACTTTCCATTTATTCTGAAGACAATGACAAAGCTATGATATTTGAAAAGCAAGTGTGAGCCAACATCTCATTTGAAGTGAATTATTACTCAAGAAATTTCATGTGTACCTTATAATTTTTCAGTCAAAAATGTCAAACATCGCAGACACTGCAATTTCATGCCACATTTCACTTTTGCAATATTTTTCTTTCATTGTGCCATTTGTAAAAGCATTGTTTAGAAAACCTTAACATTCAGTAACTTACGAAAAAGTTGTAATCTGTGATTCTATGCATTAATAATGGAATAGTTAATAAGTTTCATTTTTGCCACAAAAAAATCCTGTTGTGGGAGGAGCAGTAATAAAATTAGTTAAAAACCCCACCTACTCTACCAGAGAGATTATTTAAAAACCGAAAACATTCACTTTAAACACATGCTAATTATTGCTAGGTGGCTCAAGGTTAATTGAAACAATGACCTTTAAACACCAACTTACATCACAGTAACAATCTTTAATAGCATAATGAAAATATATTTCTACTTAGAAGATGCAGACATGAATGATTAGAACAATGCAGGAAGCAGGTTTTGTTAGCAATGTTATGCAGATTAGAGCAGTGTTGCTCAATGAGAAATCTGTGGACTGGCGCCGGTCCCGGAGGTCTCCCTGACACAGTTTAGGAAGGCAGCAAGCCAGTCCCTAGTATCAAAAAGGTTGAGAAATACTGGATTAAAGCATGCTGACATTGACTGTATTTTCATGTTGCATCCACAGACTACTCAGCTTTGTGTTTCAAGCTAGTCCAAAAAACTACAGGAATTATGCGTAAGGGTCTCATGTAGCAGTTTTCTTCAAATTTCCCACTGCTGTACTACCACCAGTGCAGCTCCACTGGTGTTGACATGCTGCCAGTGATGCTGAGCAGGGGACATGCTGGTTAAAATACTGGTGTTTGGCCACTGTTGCTTCCACAAGTTGAACTGAACCGTTGATAGTGAAAGTGTGGGAAATTGGGAACTTTTAGTGTGCGCCAACAGGATCCACACTGGCCAATTTGTGTGCAACACGCTAGCATGCACTAGAATTTACACCCTTGCTAGTGCAAACTAATGTAGACAAGCCCTAACTTATGTCACACCAAACTCTATATACAGACTGTAACATTGGCATGTTTGCTTTCTACCATATACAGGGTTGGCTTCTTGCTTCGAGTGTGTTATTGTTAATATCCTTGTGTTGCTTCCTGTGTACTTTACTTTCCTGTATAATATTAGGTATATTCTGTGTACCAAACTGCTTATTCAAATGCACACTTCCCTGTAACTAACCCACTGAAACATACGCCAATGGTTAGAAAAGAAACAGCACTGTGCTTTGCTGAAACCTTCAGATTTGTGTCTCACTGAAAAGGATATTACATGTGTAGAAAGAATCCAACATTTCGGAGGGGTTGCATTATTGATCTAGGACCCAGCTAAAAGGTTGCCAGACCTATACAAAATTCCTCAACTGAACTGACAATGATCGAAGAGAAGCAACGAAAACTCAAAAATCTGAAAACAAGAGTAAATGACCAGA